TTAAGATCATCTAAGAATTTCTATTTATATTGCAATTTGAGCTTATGCTTGTAGTAAGTATTAAACGGCGGTAGCGATCGATCAGATGTGCGAAACACTACAAGCATCCTGGTGGTCGGTTAATAAGTGCTGATTTGCAGCTAGCTGCTCACGACTCGAGTGGAAGGTACACACAAGATACGCAGTTTGGTCAAGTAGTACGAGTCGGCATTAGTCAGCCACAGGATATCTGCCTCGATGCTTGCTTCTACGAGGGTTTGTGCATTTCTAGATGTTAGCTTACTAAATCTACAGACTAATCTTCTGTTGTCTGAATTTTGTTAACGTTAAGTAAACTTAATTTTGCGTCCATGTTACACTATCCGTCAATATGTTCCTAGTCGACATAAAAAGATGAGTAGTAAGACTTTGTTTCGTCGTAGACCGAAACGACGGCTATAGAGTCAGACGATACCGTTATTTTTTATTACTTTATTTCCTTCGTTCAAACAGTTTATACATTTTCGAGACCGGCCCCTTGAAAATTCCATTTCGTTGACAAAAGGGAATAAGAGTTGGTCTGCAGTCCATCACATGTTCTCGGTAACCTGGGACCCATCCGTACCGGGCCTTACCGGGGCGCGCTGACTCGCAGACAATACAGCCATAAACCCAACCGTTGAGAGACTCGAAAATTCGTCGCGGTCAAGTCGAACCGTAACCACGTGCGCGATATTTTTCTGGCGTCCGCTTCGCCCTGAAGGAAAGGTTTTTCACCACGTCACTTAGAAAAACCGAGGAATTTGCCTTCCCCTTCAGGTCATAACCAATAAGGAGGCAAGTTTTGGTAACGCCTTCAGCGAACTTGGAGGAGGCACGACGTCACACGAAACCCGAGGGCATTCGAAAATATACACTCGTACTCGACCATTCATTCGACAACAGTCATCCGCAAACACTCGTATCGACAACAGTCACACGGACTCAATTCATTCGAAAACATTCATTCGACAACATTCACTTCACAATTCGTCAGCTCTACCAGTCGAGCAATTATATCGGTTATTCTCACTTGAAGAATATTGAAACGGTTGCCTAATATTAATTCGGCGGGCAACAGTCGCAACTGTACGCGTACCACGACGGTCGAGCCTGGAATTTACAACTCCAGGCGGATTCTTGAAGAAGAAACACATAATCAAATATTAGAGGTGTGTAATATAACAATAATTATGCGATAGTCTAATAGAACTACATTCGCCACTGTTAGTATTTCCAAACCGAAAGGAAACAACGCAAAACAATCATTTCCACGAACTTTGAAAGACTTGAACGTCAGACTACCTCTAACCCATAATTATTTGCCAATTTTCCCCGCTATCTTCATCCGCTCGACGAACTTCTTATTCTCCTGAATTTCCGTCGGGGATGCAATCAACGGGGCGAAAACTTGCCTGCAAGAATTCCTCAAGAATTCAAGAGAGGGTGGGGCGAGAGGAAGGTAACGGTTGACCCTAACGGTATTCAGTTTCCACGGAATTATACCATCGAGAAAATCGGCTCTAAGTTATCTGCAGCTTGCACGGCTCGGTCGGCTTTAAAGCATCGGTCGTCCATCTCGAGATGGCGCGGGCTGGGCTCTTCGTGGACTGGCGATGGGATCGAGTTCAATATGACTCACGAGCATCGATCAATACAGTTTCCAATATTCGTTTCGATGCATTTCAATACACTTCGTTTCACGTGTCGACGGAATATACAGGGTGATAATAAAAATGTGGTACACTTTCACAGAGTGGATTCTACGTGACAAATTCAAGAATGACGAAAGAGATTGTTTCGGAATTGTTAATTGTTGAAAATACGGGCGATATACTCGTGCAATATTCTATTTAAGTTATTCTACTCGAGAGGCATACCAAAGCTACCAACCCTCAATGATCTGAAATGAAATAGATTCAGTTTGAAGACTTTACTTGAAAAAAATAACACCGTCACTTCTTGTTGTCTTACAATGTTTTCTAATGGCTCATTTAATAGTATGTAGTATAATTAATATTTAAAATGTTCTATAGTTAATTTTAATTTTATTCTTCATTTTCTGTGGCTTGATAGTTTCAATAATTGTATAATGTAAGAGTTCTTCTCTCAGCTCGTAATTTTTTGCAATATAGAGATCGCAATATTATAGGTTCTGTTCTATGTTTAACTAATCTGTGTCATTTTGAGGATTGGTAGGTTTCTGCATAACATGTTAAATTCTATTTCATTCATAAATTTAACTAAATCCCATAAATCGACTGGGAATCAACTGCTGTAAGTAGTATAATCTCCAATATTAATGAAAATATTAATTTTTTGACCCAGATTATCACGACTTTTTTTCATTATTTGGCGAATCCTATCTACTTTAAAAGTTTTGAACCCTTTTTATATCACCCTGTATAATATTAGCTTGCGATACAGTTCGATATATGCTTGGCTCTCTTCTGTAAACTCCCTTCGCGGCGTCCCTTTGCATAATTGACTTTCTCGGGGCGTTGTAACTTGAGACCGTGGGGGCGTTTAGTCGCGATATCGGGTCGTTCCGGGCCCTTAGACAGTCGATTCTCGCGCGTCAAGTGCTACGGAAACAAAGGGAACGAAGTAAGAAGTCCGCATAATGAATCCCGGCCCCTCGACCATTCCTGATTCATGTATACTCGACCGTTCTGCCTTGTAATTAGCGTTTCATTCTTCCCCGTTCTCAGCTTCTTCAACCCTTTCCAGCCCCTTTCATGACAGTTCCAGCGAGGTTTAAGTATCGTTAAACAGTCTTCAATGTTACGTAGCTAATCGATCGTGTCACTTTTAATTCTAAAGAACTGTGTCACATTAACGTCGACACTTAATATATTAACTTAATTGTTTATTGCTTCCACGAAACCGTGGAAGAAAGTCTATCGAATAAAGGACAACTAATATTAAATCGTTGAATGCTAACTACGACATAACTCGTAGTTGAAACATTGTAAAAAGACTAGATTATTTAAATATCGTTACAAAACTTTTCCGTCAAATTAATATCGCAGTATAACTGAAAACAAGACAAACAGCCTCTATTAACTAAACGCATATCTTTCCGACGATTTAAGGCTGAAAAAACGAAATAAAACGTGTCTGACTACGTACGGCCTTTTTCACTGTGGCAGTGAACGTGTTAAACACGCCGTATACACATTCTTCTAAACTCTGAACGATGAAGAGAATTTTTACCGGTTCGCAAAAACTATATACCCACTAATTTTGCGAAAATCCTGGCAACGATATAATTGAATAGAAAAATGGCTTCATCCCCTCCCCCACGGTTCATTAAAGCGTTCATTGACTGGAGCACGAAAGTTTCTCGGTTCCGAAAATTGGGTCGTGACTCTAAAAAGTTTCGGCAGCGTTTCGCTAACGCGCTAGACCGAATGGTTTTCATTTTTCCTCGGTCCATTGCACGGATATTAAGAATTCTCACGATAATACCGAGAAGAAAAAAGTCTGGTTGAATTGTTAGAAGCAAGATTGTGGTTCCTCTTCACCTTCGTTCTCGAGAAGCTCGAGTCTTTATGGTAATTGTACGGTAATAGTTTCGTCGGATTACAGCGAAATAAGTAACACGGCCAGTTATGTTCGTAGTTTTAAGGAATCATCCGCGTACCGAGTCGTGTAATTAGCAACGAAAACTTCATATCCGTTGTATCGTCTTCGTGTGAAAAGCCACTGGCGAACGGGACGAGTTCGCGTGAATCGTTCGTACACGCTCGTTTACATTAATTCTTCCGTTAATTCGGTCCATTGCTATGCCAAGAATCCGCTCCGACGTTGTTGAAAACGTTATAACGGACCCTCTTTTCAGGTGGGCAGAACGCTCGTAAACCGGGCAGCCAGGTCTTTCGGAACAAAGAGCGGCTAATGAAACTCGGAAAAAGACGTGTGCACACTTCCCCCTCTCTTCGCGCGACGCGAAACTTCCTGGTTGAAGTGTTCTTTCTTTCTCGCGACTGAAGAATGGAAATTGGGTGACTTAATTCTTGAACGTAATTTTTCTGCTCCCCCGAGCGCATATTTACGCAGCCCTGCAATTCTTCTGCCTAAAGATCCTCGAATTATTCGGTATTACGATCTTTGAGTTTGAAAACCTTTAGATTCCTAAAACATTGATTCTGTGATACTGGAATTACCAAATGGTCAAAATTTCAATGTTCTCAAATTTTTTAGATTCCTAGATTCTTGAGTATTCAAGAAATTTATTAAATCACGGTTCCTCGAACTCTCGAATGTCGAATTCTAAAGTTTTCTGAATCTTCAAATTCCACAACATTCGAGTTCACAATCTCGAATATCTCAGTACTCAGGCCCTTACTTGAGTTTGAAAACTTTGAGGTTCCTAAAACCTCGATTTTCTGGTACTAGCATTACCAAATGGTCAAAATACCAAGTTCTCAAAGTTTTTATACTCCCAAATTCTCAAGATTCAAGTCTCTGAATTTACTAATTCTTGGTTTCCGAACTCCCGAACGTCAAAGTGTCAAGTTTTCTGAATCTACAAATTCCTCAATTTTCAAGTTCCCAGCTTCCAAAATTCCCAAACGGTCAAGTTCCCAAGATTCTTTCAATATCATACACCCGTGAGGAATTTCCATCTGCCAGGGAATTGTACTTGTAAATATCTTTGATGGTAATACGTGTGTACTCGTTTCACCTGTCCACGATTCACGAAAAGTGTTTGTTACACTGCTACTACATCTCAAACATTTGTCAGTCAATGGTCCAATCCACAACAAGTACACTCATTTCCAGGTGCAGACACCTCGTACCCAGCATGCGTTACAACCGTACATCTTGTACGGCGATTAGGGCACAACACAATACTCATGCATCGCAAAACCTGATTAAAATCCCGATGTATATACCGTGTACAAATCTCGACTGACTGATTCGGGGGCGAGGGGAGGGGGGTCACGCGCAGGTGTCGGCCCGCCGGAGCGATTTACCTCTTTTACCTGAGCTGACTTTGAACGGGGATCGGCGACCTGGACGGTCTCGTCGGGAGGCAGCCGCCAGGAGTTCCTCTCGATGTTTACGCTGGCGTTCATAGCGGCCTCCTCCTCCTATGCCTCCCGTGTCCTTCGTCGTTCTTGACAGGTTCGTCCTCTCGCGCGCGAGCCGGGAACCCCGAGGTCCCCAGGGTAACCCCCGGGCCACTCCTGGGGCCGAGGTCCAGCACCAGCCAATCCACAGTTCCTCCTCACCTGGAACGACACGAAGAAGTTGGCTGTATAAAACGAACCTCTAATGATCCTTCCGCGAAGGCCACGCACGCTAGAGGCGGTTAAGAATAATTGGAGTGGGTCTATTAGTGCTCTGACGATGCTCTAACGACCAGACGCAGGAACCTACGACTGGGTCGGTCTTGACCCGTACCGAGAACCTAAAGTTCTTTTTGCTTGGCAGATTTAAATAATGGAGGGAATGCTTGATGGATTGATATTAATGAAATATAGAGTTAATCCAACAATTCTAAGATTAGTTGGTTCCAATTCTTTTACAAAGTCTCTCGTCTGTGTGCTATAGGCTCTTTTTGTTTCCATAATAGTATTACAATCTTTAGGGTATACTTATTCCAGAAATATTCCAGTATTTTAATCCTGTTTAATATGAGTGGGGTAAATATTGATCAAGAATTTATACAGCGTATTTCTGAAACGGTAACATACAAGGGTGCCTTTCTACGTGGAAGAATAATTCGAAAATGTAGAGTAACATTTTTTCGTATGGTGCTTCGTTTTCGAGAGAATCGAATTTCAAAGTTTACTGGTTACGCGTGCAGTTAATAGGTCTTGGCTAACATGTCTGATCATTACATTCTGTTTCTACTTATTGTCACTTTGAATATATGTGGTGTCTCATTTGAGTGTGTCACCCAGGATGTCTTGTTTAATTGTGAAAAGACAAAAACATCTTCTTTGTATTTTTTCGCAGTTTTCAGGGTCGTCGACGTTTTTTCTCTGATCTATATTTTAACCACCGACTACCATCTTGGAATCTCGATATCAGAAAACACCCCCTCAACGATTCAAGGGTGTAACGAATGGTAATACGAACCGTTCGTTTCGTTGACGGTTTAAATAAACGAAACAGAAATGGTTCGGAGTTTCGCCAATTAACGAGTAATCGAGGAAGCATCAGAGCACTGTTTCTCAAGGGGTGAAGCGTTCCGGGGGTGAGGGGCGGCGGGCGAGACGCCAAAGAATAACAGAGAACGGTGAAAACTCAATCTGACTTTCCGAACCGGTAAGTTAAACACGGTAATGGGAAATCGAAGAAGACTGGGGAGACGGGACCTTATTGTTCGGATTCTCCAGGTGAGCTGGTCGCGAACGGTCCCCGATTCTCGGGCGATTAATATTGATTTTTGATTAGGTCTCCATCCGCGGAGGAGAAAGGTTAAGGACGATGTTCTGACGAAATGTCATGGCAATTTTCTAGGTATGCTTCGTTGGTTCCCTCTTTTCTGTCCCGTTAGCCTCGAGACCACGAATATTTCTATATATTTTGAATTTTCTTTTCAAAGAATTCTCTCTCACTTGTTACGTAATTATCTCCTCGAGGCTTTGATCACCTGTCAGTTTAAAATTCAACCCTAATTATTGAATTACCTGTCTGTGTATCCTAAATACGACGACAATAAATTTGATGTAAAATTCGGCAGGCGTATGTATTAAGACATCTATCGAATATGCAATAAATATTACAAGACATTACGAAATTTCGGAGAGCCTAAAATAAATATTGTTTAGGGGATATTAAAACTCGATAAACAACGCTTGTGCAAGTATAAATTAATAAAAATGATTCCCCCACCAGTTGGTGGCGGAAATTGAAACTAATTCCAGAACTTCCTCCAAAACTTAAAAGTTATAGAATTAATTATTTTGTTATTATTTATTATTTCTTATTACTTTTTTAGTTAATTGATATTAGGAATAGGAGTGGAGACAGTGAGGGATTAATGAACAACGCATATGTATGGTTTGACTGTTTTTTATTGAAAAATCGTAAGAAAATATACAATTTACAATGGTATTTGTATAAATTTAATAACAATTGCTTTAAATACTACTTATACATAATACTACTTAATATAAAGGCATCATTTTCGCGTGGCCGACACAAAATCAGGTTGCTTCTATCTGCTTTGAATAATAATCTATACGAGTGATACGCTAGTTTAGATTAAAATGCGCGAGAAGGGTCAAGGAATCCAAATACGCAAATATATCGTTACGTTTCCTGCCTCGCGTCGCCTTCACAGGAGCTCGCGGTTGCCCGCCACTTGCCCGTGCGGGCAACATGCATAAAGCTGGGTTGCCCATCACTGAATTAAGGCGACGCTCCGAAAAGATTTGTCCGCGTTGTAGCAACCGGCAACACGACGAACAACGGGGTTCGCCCTGCGGTGAAGGATGAATAGATCGCGTGAATCATCCCCGTTGGACAGGGAACAAAGGATAATTACGAATTCCTCAGGGAATTAAACCTGAATAAGGGATTACACCCGCTCAGGTTGTCCGTCTTCTCCCATGAATAATTTAATTAAAGTCTAAATTTCCCGGCGGGGAGACGCGCCAGCACACGCCATTAGTTTATTTTCGATTTAAATTTCAAATCACGGCCACGGAGGCCTGGTAGCCGCCGCGGACATGCAAATCCCAGAATGCATATGAAGCAGTGCATCGTACCCCGTCAGGGACGCGAGTTAAGGGACGAATTACGGGACAATTAACCGACCCTTATCGATTTACATTACATCTAACCTCTTTCACCTGAACTGCCTCTTTGACCGATCTTTCACTTACACGGTACTCTTCACGACCTTTCGTCTAACGATCCTATTCTGGGGCCACTTTGATTTTTAGAAATGCACTTTTTTCATTCCAGAATATATGTTCTATGTTTCTGAATTGCCACGGTAGCTGAAGTGATAAGAAGTACGTTTTGTAGCTTCGTAGATCTTGTCGTAAATACTATTCATCTTCAGAAGAACTTCTAAATAATATGTTGTTCACTATTGTATCAAGTGCAGCTACTAATAAATAATACAATATTTCTTCTAATTGCAAGACGATGGAATTTAAGTCAGAAGCTTCTTGAGCACCCTTTTATTGACTAAAAATGCCATAGGATATTGGACGTTGAAGAACGTTGACTTCCAAACATACTATGAGGGACTGTAGAGAAATTATAATGTAATATCGACGAAAATTAATAAAACAAGAACTTTATTACGCAATTCCTAGAACTTTGGAATTACCCCTCGTATGAATTCGTGAAGTCACGGATCCATCGAGCAATATCGCCAGCAGATGCTCTCGTCAAATAAGGCGCATGCTGTTTCCTCGCCACGATATTAAGCAAACAGGAGAGCAACTGAAACACGGATCGCGGTAACGAACTACCGATCCGGCCGCCCGGGAATTTATGGGACGCGAAAGGAACGCGAAGAGCGCGAAACACGTTGCCTTTCCCCGTTCCCAGTCCGGAAATTCCTCTACTCTCCTCTCTTTCTATCGGTGAATTTAAATTCCCCGCGATTGCATTTATATTTTTTGTTTCCAATCCCCTCGAATGGAACATCGAGCACGCTTCGTATCGCGTCGTTTCGTTCGCGAAATGGCGTTTCATAGACGTCATAGAAGGGTAAATTTCGATTGTTCCTTTTGTACTCGTGGCTGGATCCAGGTGTTAGGTGGACCAATTAGTTGTTCTTTGAAATAGATATCTGTAAGAAAATTAGAATTATCGCTAATGTCCCCTCAATTTACAATAACTCATAAAATTGTTCACGAAAGTATTATCGACGAATCTTATTTCAAAATTAACAAAAATCTATCGTGGGAGTACGATGAAAGTACAAATCATGAGGATATTTAAATAAAAATTGCATGGAAGTTTGTACGTTCAATTGTAATTTTGAAAGTTTATGAACGGATACATGTGTAGCTATACATTCGAAATAATAATATTTGTAAAAATCAACTAGATAACCGACGATAATTGTACATATATTTCCATCTAACGCTAAACATGACAAATTTTTGAAACTTTACAAATTTGTATATTAAATGATTTCTTCGCTGTCATATGGTAATACAAATTATAAAAGATCTGGGAAAATATATTATCGTAACATTTTAATCATCGTTATAAGAGTGTACTCACCAGTCATTTGTTTGGTAAGTTCTCCTATTATATTGCCATTTTGCCTTCCACTTCAACGAACCCCAGAATCGAAGAAGTGAACTTCCACTGTCGATACCAAACGTTCTCCAAACACATTTCACGTGATCCACCGTCTCAAACTTCCGGCCGATAAATTCCCCGGGAAAATTTCCACGCGGGTTATCACGAGACACGAAGTCACGCCTCCTAATTCCCGAACTCTCTCGACCGATCTTAATTCGATCGCGAGATCAATCGACGGAGTTCCGTCGAACTCTGGCCGTTCGATTGTCTCGAAAAATTCTCCGTCTCCAACACGACGTCGTTCCTGGAATCGACAACCGATTCCCCGAGCCGAACTTCCCGCCAACTTCCAACAACATTATCCTCGATTTCACCGTCTGTCAATCGAACCATTCGCCGATGGAATCGTTCTTCGGATCGTCTGGCTTCCGAAACTGTACAGTATCGTTTCATCTGTCTCATCCTGCTGATGAGAGGCTGACGAAAACCATTGCCCCGAAGGAATCATTTAATTACATCGCGGACGCTTCTTTTCGTTCGTCCGAAGGTCGATAAAGGCGGACGCAAGATTGGCACGGGACACTTTGAAGTTCTTCCCCTTTCGATCCTGCAGAGAACAACCCTCCAACGGAGGCTACCCTCTTTGGGGACGGATTAACCTTAATTAATGTTCCACCGTTTTCTTTTAACTTTGGTTTACACACCAGAGTCGTTGTATTTGTACAGGATCAGTCGTGGAGGTTCTGGGATCCACGAAGAACGACTGCTCGACGATATTAAGCACCTCTTCATATATTCTTTCGTACAGCAAATGATTTACGAGTTATTCGGTGTCATATTACGAGATTCA